GCTCATGATATCAATCACTGGATTATATGGTCCATACTCGATTATTGACAAACCGCCATCATATAGCTGGAATATTGCCGAGTGCGGCGTTAAATAACAAATAAAAATACAAAAACAAAAAAGACAACAAGGGCACATTCGTTGATCGACAGGAAGGTTCTCATATCACCCGGTTTCAATTCGAATGGGAGAAACATCGAACCAAAAGTTAGCGAGGGCGCTTTTAAAGCTTCAGGACATTAATATTTGTTTGTTTGTTTATTTGTTGTTAAACGCCGCACTCATCAATATTCCAGCTACATGACCAGACAATCCAGTGATAGCCATCGTGAGCATCGATCCACGCCATTGGGATCTTCATGTTCTTTAACGGTGTTGGTCAATAACCATTCTGACCAAGAAACCCCCTGTCGATCAGCCCATATTTTCAGTACATCATTCCAACTGATTTCATGATGTGTATATAAATTACATTGATAGATGTGGTATAGACTAGATTCTTAACTTCACCACCTGTGTTGTTTTAGAGATCACAACACTCCACTGCTTCCGTATCTTAAACGTTCGATTCTCCACATGGGTACAGTGTGTGAAGCTGGAATTGCTGGAATATTGCTAACATCGACGTAAAACTCAACGTATTCACCCAACTGTAGCTGCCGGTGTAGCCAGACCAACGAATTGCATACGACTGGGTCACCCGTGCCCCCCAAGGAATCGGTGGAAAGATTTATTGCCTGTGTGACGAAAAGGTGAAAAAACACATACAGTATATACGATTATTTATTCATCGTACTGAGCAGCAACGAATCAGACCAAAAACAAGAACTATTTTGATTTTGTTCATTCTTGAACGTTCATTAGAATAGTACTCGATAAAGAACTGCATCGTTTTCGTATATTTGCTCTATTTAGTCAATTCAAGACATTCGGACTTTCCTCACACATTAAGCTGACATGCCGTGATATGACTAGAATATTGTCCAAAGCCGTCTGAAACTGTTTGAGCTTTCACTGTAAAAAGGGCCGGCGTCCTATTTGCTGAATAAAGCATTCATTCACACTGTTCAAAGCGGCGTTAATTCCAACTCACTAACTGAACCAAGAGCATCAAAGAATTATGACCACACGGACTTCCATACAACTGTAATTGAGCAGGTCTCCGGCACAGCACAACATGACGCAGCTATTGGCCCGTTGATTAACATTGGGTGGTGCAGTAGCCATACCTTCAAACACACCCATGAACAGCACAACATGACGCAGCTATTGGCCCCTTGATTAACATTGGGTGGTGCAGTAGCCATACCTTCAAACACACCCATGCGTGAACGTAAGCAATGAGCCTCTAAACTTCTAAACATAATACACTCTTTTTTGCCGTGTATATCGGAACGAGGAATTAAGAGAATGTAATCGTTCAACGATAATGGCTTCAGTCACGTGGTGCAGTCAAGCATGGTGGTGTTTTCTCAAACTGGAATTGGTATAGATTAATTACATCAGAGAATAGTTTCTGGTAAGTCCTACGGGACACGAACCGCTACAGGGTGTTATAAAAAATGTGTCAATCGTGCAAGAATAACACATGGACGTCAAGACGTTCTCCAGCTCGCTTGCACAATTTTGTCGGAAATAGTTTGTGACATCGCGTTATTATTACATCAGGAGCACGGCTGGCCCAGTCGCCTAAGGCGCCGCAATTCACTGTGCAGAGTTACGTCCCTTGTGTATGCCATGATTATATGGTAGAGTGTTCGAATCTTAGGTTGCCCTGATAATGAGCATTGGTTTGTCAGCACCATACCCACTCTCGTGGGTCTCACCAAAGAGGTAAAATACCTGCATCACTTCGGGCTCTCATCCTCCCGCATCTTGCTATGATGTAACTGATATACATGGCCAATCTAGTGTGCGGTCGGGTAGCCTAGTGGTTAAAGCGTTCGCTCGTCACGCCGAAGACCCGGGTTCGATTTCCAAAATGGGTACAATGTGTGAAGCAAGCCCATTTCTAGTGTACCCCGCCGTGATATTGCTGGAATATTGCTAAAAGCGGCGTAAAAAACATACTCACTGACTCACATGGCCAAGCTGTTTGGCCGGGATGTGAGAACAAATATTTAATGCCCCTGGCGAAGGCACAAGGGACCTGACGTCTTTGGCACCGTAATTCTTTGTGTGAGTGAGTGAGTGAGTTGGGTTTAACACCGCTTTTAACAGTATTCCAGTTATATCACGGCGTGTCAGCTTAATGTGGGAGGAAAGCCCGAAGTGATGCAGGTCTCAGACGTTTACCACTTCGGTGAAACCCACGAGCACGGGTATGGTGCTGACAAACCTAGAAACATAATCGGGGCGAACCGGAATTCGAACCCACAATCATAGGTTTCTGGCATGCCCAAGGGACGCAACTCTGTACAGCGAATCGCGGCGCCTTAGACGACTGGGCCACCCGTGCCCCTGATTTGTGTGAAGAGTTGTGAGTGCCCGAATCTTCTGATTGTGGGTTCGAATTCTAGATTCGCCCTGTTTATGTTTCAAGATTCATCAGTTACATTACAGAGCTCGTGGAAAACGTCTAACGTATAACCTCCCTCCCTCCCTCACTCCCTCACTCACTCCGCAATGAGCATTCAACAATTAGGGGAAATGTAATTTATTACAATGGCAAATATGTGAAATCTGAAAACTTTGTGAAGTTTTATAGGTCAAAAGTCATACCCCACAATTCTAGCTTTTGATAAATGGTCCGATGTGATGTTGAGTTCCTTCAGGCGAAACTTCATGTAAATGCGATAATGCCAATACCATAATAGATAATTGCCTCACCGACAGAGCTAAAACTGTTTTAGAGCAGAGACAATATTGACAGGCTGCCTGTTAAATACAACACGTGTTTGCAGACAAAGAATGTATTGTCAAATGATGCTGCTGTGTATATTATTAGCCTCGCTTGTAATGATCAGTGATGTTCAAAGCGTTCTGACGAACGTAATACAGTAACCATTGTTTAACCGGCGTACATTTAAACCATACATGTCCAAATAGTCAAAGACAAATCTAGGTAATCTAGTTAACCTTAATAAATACATATCACCCGAAAAAGCACCATATATTTCCATATAATATTGCAACTGTTTAAAATGGCATCCTTCATTATATCTGTGACGAAATACGTTTGTTTTTGTTTACAGAATGACATACTCACATTTGAAATACAAATTTTGGTTTGTTTGTTGTTTAACGCCGCACTCATCAATATTACAGCTATATGACCCCGGTCTGGAAGTAATCGAATCTGGACCAGACAATCCAGTGACTGACATCATGGGCATCGATCCACGCAGTTTGGATGCGATGACATGCATCAACCAAGTCGGCGAGCCTGATCACCCGATCCAGTTATAATTAGTCGCCTCTTACGACAAGCATAGTCACCTTTTCCAGCAAACATGGGTTGCTGAAGACCTATTCTACCCTGGAACTGCACAGGCTGTTGCATAAGCGCCTGGAGAGTTTTTTGCATTGGGTCGCGTTCTAAGTGGTAATAACTGCATCGCGAGGGTTATTTTTTGTGTTAAAAGATCAATGTTAATTGCATGTCAGGGTGTAATGGATTCCGACATTGCATTCCCTATTGTTCGACTTCAATAAACCATCCTTCCATGACGCAAACAAATTCATCGTTTCCTTACATAAATATTCACGTTAATTCATATTGATTCATCTTCATTTCTTACAACGATACTGAATTGAACAATGGTTTCAAATGATAATCCCAAACTCGACAGACTGGAAACGTGACAATACTGAGACAATCCTAATAGCTGTTTAACCCATATTAACGACATCAGGTCGTACACCGTAACAGATATTCTATTACTTTTGTTTTATTAATAGTGAGTATATCACAACGAAACAATCCAAATATCCATACATTGATTCAATAATTGAAAGACAGTGCGCAGTCGGAACAATATAAACCGCGTATAGAAAATATACAATTGAAAAATTAATTTGACTAAAACATTACAAACGTTATGAAAACGTTACTAAGCTAAAAGGCCCGTGAAGATCCAGGGTAGAATAGGTCTTCAGCATCCCATACTTGCTGTAAGAGGCGACTATGCTTGTCGTAAAAGGCGACCAGCGGGATCGGGTGGTCAGGCTCGCTAACTTGGTTGATGCATGACATCGATCCCAGTTGCGTGGATCGATGCTCACTGGATTGCCTGGTCCAGACTCGATTATTTACAAACCGCCGTCATATAGCTGGAATATTGCTGGGTGTGGCGTTAAACAACAAACAAACAAACAACTGCCAGAAGGATAATTAAGGGTTTTTAAGAATTTTAGGGATAATTAATATTTTCGATTAAATCCCAGATCCCCAACAAACAAACACACTAGGCTGAAAACAGTCGCCAAAAAAACTGCAAACTGAAGGTCCACAACACAACTATGATACCCGTGTCAACTACGTCACCGTCGAATAACCATGTCTTGTTTTTGTCATATTAGCCACTATGAAACATAGTTGTATACTTTCTTTTGCCCTTCAGTTTAGTCCGGTATAACGGGGTTTCACTGTGTTTCAAATGGCCATTCCTTCACACCGTGTTACCCCGTGACAGTCGGGGACTGAAGTGGCCCCTAATACCCCATCCTTGTCGAAAGAGCTGAATAAAATGGTAAAATGATCAGGAATTGTGGTGTGCCCATACTATCAATCACTGGTTTGTCAGACCCAGACTGGTTTTTTAACAACCGTCGTGATATGCTAGGGTAATGATGACCGTGACGTTAAATAGCAACAACTCACTCACACGATATACAATAGTTTCAGATTATTCATCTTTCAAGCTGATTAATTAAATCAAACAGTCAACGCAATTAGGAATTTAAAAAAACAAACTCAATCGAATGGAATGACTGGAAACTTGCGTATTCAAATACAACTTGACATCAATACAACTCTTAATGACAGAATCCCCGCCAAGTGATTGAGTGTGCCCTAGACGCGTTGCTCTGGTTCAATAATATACGGCTCAGCCAAGGTTAACAATACCTATGTGACTAGAACACCGCACTGTTGAGCGAAGGGCGCTCCAGTCGTACGTCCGTCATTCAGTTAATCCACTCCCAGTTATAACCCGCGGAAGGTGATAATCCACAGGATATAAATCTCCAGTCGACTCGGGGTTCCTGTCTGACATAAGCCAGGCTATTTAAGCCGTGTGTCCACTGTCTGTGGAACGGAACACATTCTCTGTGGAAAAGCGAGGATGGCGCGCATGGGAGGGACGCTTGTGCTTTTCTGCTATTATTTGATCACCGTGGCGTTCAGGTGAGTAACATTGTTCTTATTTGTGTTATGAAATACTTGTCTGTTTGAACCTGCTTAACGTTGATTTCATCAGGTTAACGCTAAACGTGTTTTGACAGTTGTTTGTTTGTTTACATGTTGCGAGGACCATGAAACCTACATTTAAACGTACAAAAGACAGTGACGTCAGTTTTAAATGTCAACCCATTTATATTTATACAACCTGACAATAGTAGATACATATATACTGCAAATGTATTCATTATGAAATCTGTTGTATGTCGCATGTGACCTACATACGCTCATAAAATTATGTAAAGATAGTCATGTATAGAAGTGTGTAATATGTATGGGTCGTAGAATATATAACGAATAGCGTACCTTGGACGCGTAAAAGAAAAGGACCTGTTCTAAGATAATAAAAACAAACAAAACATTTAATAATAAACAGCCCGGCGAATGAAAACATGCACCCACGTTTCATGGTGGCTAAAAATGAAACAAACAAGAAATGGTTATTCTGTTATGATGTATTTGATACGGGTATCATAGTTGTGTTTTGGACGCTAAGCTTGCAGTGTTTCCACGACTGTTTTAGCCTAGTCACGTTTTGATAACGTTTGTAATGTTTCGGTCAAACCCAGTTTCAAATTGCTACTTTTTTGCCTGGCAGTTGTAGTAAACTACGGTTATGACGAACTGAAAGGGACCACAAATTTTAGTTCGTTATAACCGTAGTTTGTTATAAGCATATATACAGCATAGGTACAGCAAATGGCCGCGACCCCAAAAACAGTTCGTTATATCCGCCAGTTCGTTATAAGCGTGTTTGTTATAAACGTAGTTTACTGTAATATATAATACAAATCATTATAGAAACTCATGTCTATTTATTATTTGAGCAATGTTCAGAATACCCGAGCTTGTTGCTGTTACGAGCTTTAATGTCAGTGTCAATTTTAAATGAGTAACTTTTGGAATTCAATCGTTGAATTATCTATAATGCCGTATAATACGCGCAGATTAAAGCTAGTTCAATTCATTATTCAATACCGAAAGTAAATGAATATCACCAGCGCACTTGCTTAGCTTACCAATCACATGAAACTGCCCGGTATTGAATAGGACAGAGCAACCAACAAAACAATCGTGCCATTTGATTCAAAATGAGACGTAATTTATAACGGGCGTCTTCAATCTAATAGGCACTTGGCATGCTAGGACTTTTGTGATGGGTGATTGAACACTTACATTACGGTGTCGCTTCGGGTAAGAAGCCATAGAATTAAAATTTACCTGTTTGATTTTCCCTGTTGAATGTGTAACTCTCACGTGTTTCACCTGTATTCTCACCTATGTTCTCACCTGTATTCTCACCTTTTTACATCGACCAGCGGCAATCGTTTCTCGCGGTTGTGTATCAGTAATCATTGGCCTTCATAATGCCCGTATGCAGTAAGCGCTGCACAATTTTATTTTTTGTTTATTTGTTGTTTAACGCCGCTCTCAGCAATATTCCAGCTCTATAACGGCTGTCTGTAAATAATCGAGTCTGGACCAGACAGTCCAGTGATTGACATCATGAGCATCGTTCGACGCAATTAGGACACAATCGCTTCACAATTGACCGTATTGTGTAGGGTCGGGACACGTCATTGCGATCCAAGTATACTAATAATGGACGTTGCACATATATACTGACATGTTTATTTAAGCCATCTACATTTGTATTGCATAATTATTCTACGTTATTCAATACTATACAGATCAAGACGTTGTCGTTGAAAATAGAACGCGTGCATATTGTACATTTATTACAAGTTGATTTTTCCATGACCTTTCATTGATATGAATGGGATTTGATTTTTCCCGAATATACATACGAGCTCGGCAATACAATTATTTGAATGTCATAAAATGTAGATTGATTGTCGGTTATTAGCAAACTTGCGTCGGTGTGCAGGTATTTCAAGAGATATTATAGCGTATGGCAATAGTTTGAGAAAGACACGACTAACAGGATCTCGTTAGTCAGACTCGGTATGATATAATATGAATTGGAACTGATTTTACACGAATATTTGGACATACGAGCCCAGCAATATATTTATTTGAATAATGTAGCGTATGGCGTTGGTTTGAGTAAGAAACGACTGATGATCGGGCGGTCAGACTCGGTCACTTGGTTGATATATGTCATCGTATCCCAAATGCGTTAATCGATGCTTATGATGTTAATCGCTGGATTGTCTGGTCCAGTCTCATTGTTATTATTTACAGACATCCGGCATATAGCTGGAATGTTGCTGAGTTCGGCGTTAAACAACAAACAACAAACATGACATAAATAAATGTGTTGTGGTTCCAAAATCCCATTTTTGAAGACCCCATTTGAGAAACAAATAAATTGTATTGCTGCTGACTACAAAAATATTATAACTCAATAGCCTGTCTGCAACATTCACCAGAATATTAAAAATATACCAAATGGTCGATTCTTAAGGCCTACCATCCTCAGGAACAGACTGTTTCACAGAAGAGAGAAAATCGAATGTGTACATCCATGTGCTGGTTATTGCTTCAAGTATAGGGTATAGCGTCAGGACTCAAACGGATTTAATACCTCGAAACCTTCAAATTCAATTTAGCACCGTCCAATTAACACGTGGCATAGCTCTACATTGAAAACAGGGTAAACCCAAAGCTGAATCCACAAGATATCTTCTTAAGAAACTGTGCTGGTATGTATTTGGGTGGGGATTGAAAAACCGTAAACGTTTTGGTATTCAAAGGCTCCCTCGTAATTTTAAGTGAGGGAGTTTTTTCAGCGCCGCGTTGAGCAGTATTTCCGTTATATAACGGCGTGCCAGCTCGACATATTATAATGCCACACTCAGCAATATTCCATTCATATGACGGCGGTCTGTAAATAATCGGGTATCCAGGGATTGATATTATGAGCATCGATCAACGCAGTTGGGATACGATGACATGCATCAACCAAGTCAGGGACCCGAACAAGCAGAGTTAACGTTAACCGGATCTTCACGGGGTAACCGAATAGATCTTCAGCAACCCATGCTTGCGGTTAACGTTGACTCTGATTGTTGTAAGAAGCGACTTACGGGATCGGGTGGGCAGGCTCGATCAGCTAACCAAGCATAATTTTTGTGTTTATAATTCCGAAAGTAATGTTAGGCCACGCCCACTTAGAAACTACTGTTTCCTGATTGGCTGATAATAGAAATTTACACAGTTTGCACAACGTTTTCTACGTTTATACCTCCAAGAAAGCAAATAATATTAAAGTCAGTTCTTAAGCATTCTGATATGCGTCAGGGAAAATTAACTTTGGATTGTTGATATATATCACTCAACTTTGATTAAGGTTTTGTATCCCTGGTTGGAGTTCAATACATGTTACTTTGAACTTCTTGTCATTTGCTTCAAATGGAAGGGGTAAAATGTCAGTTTTGTCAATAAAAGCGACAAAAAACATTTCTGTAACCATAACAAATCCATAAGAGTACTGTACGATTCCAACGATATGATCATGTGAGGGGATATTGAAATATTGATTTTTAATTTTTTTATTTATGGATGTTTATACCAGGTGTTCGCGAATAGCTGAGCGTACTCTGCCCCACCGGTGGCGAGCAATGCCACCTTGTTTGCCTCTCAGAGTTGTGTGTTATCGCAATGGATGTAGTTCTATTATATCTGAGGTTGCGTTCAAAGCATTTTATTTCGGGTTCTGCCCTAAGTTCAGCCCGGGGCTAGTATAAATTTCTGTGGGCTCGTACAAATTTCCAAATTTCCCCATTGTTCAACATTACAAAGGCAATTTTTCTTTTAAATATCTCTTAAATTTAGTTCTAACCCTGAAGTTATGTATACACTTGTCAGAGGGGTACTCAAAGTACGTGATCTAGACTACCACTTCATTTTGCGGAAGCCTCGGTGGCTGAATGGGTTAGATCGCTGACTTTGTGTGCTGGCGATTAGGTGCCTCACTCTGGCAAGTGTGGGTTCGAATCCCGGACGGGACTCAACCCCATAAAAGTACGAGAATCTGTATTTTACTAAGAAAGCGTTATCCCAAATATAACATTTGTTACACCTGAAGCTATGGTTGTTCAACACTGGCTCACTCAGGATGAAGTCCTCAAGCCTGTTTAGCAGGGACCTGGTAACCTTAAGTGACTCAGTTGACACAAAGTTGAATAATCAAATGCCCGTTCATGTCAAGTCTCTCGACGTCGCCTTTAGAGTTGGTGCATATTGGTTCACTGTCTCCTGGGAGATAACGGTAAAAAAGACCAAACGCTTTAACACTGTGAAATATTTATCACCAGAGCTCGGCATGTTCATTGCACTAGTTGCCTTGTCAATGCCGTTAATAATGTTGTTTGCAAATATTGTTTCAAAGGACGCTTCAAACTTAAAAAGTTCAAACGATCACCATCTTTATTAGTGAGTGAGTTGGGTTTAACACCGCTTTCAACAGTATTCCAGTTATATCACAGCGTGTCAGCTTAATGTGGGAGGAAAGCCCTTAGTGATGCAGGTCTCAGACATTTACCACTTCGGTGGTACGGGTATGGTGGTGACAAACCTAGAAACATAATCGGGGCGAACCGGGATTCGAACCCACAATCATAGGTTCCTGGCGTGTCCAAGGGACGCAACTCTGTTCCCGACATGGGTTCAATGTGTGAAGCCCATTTCTGGTGTTCCCCGCCTATTGCTGGAATATTGCTAAAAGCGGCGTAAAACCAAACTCATTCACGAGAGAATATTTTAATAGAGGAATCCAATTCAAGTCCGGAATTATTTAGCAAGTCTAAATTGTCTCAGCTATGAAATTAAATGACATAACTTTTTGTCTGAGACTAAACTTTAGTCAAGGGATTTCCTCCCACGTGAAGCTAGCTCGCCATGATATAACCGAAAACTGTTCAATGTCACTTCAAAGTCTACTCAACTCATGGTCATGGGTCATTAATCCCACTGACTGCAAT